CTGGGGGGGGGATAGCTCGCGGAAGCTTTTAAAATTGTAAAATTTCAAATAAAATTTTAATTTTGGCACCCTCAGGTGTAGGACGTGAACATCTGTGTAGCTAGATCTATCAATCAATCGATAAGGCTAATCCGAGATGGTCTAACGGTCATGATTTCCGCTTGTCACTGTTGAAATACAGAACGAGCGCGGGAGACCGGGGTTCGACTCCCCGTCTCGGAGGTTGCTGTTTTTTGTTGCTCGTTCAACGAGAGTTTTCGTCATTCTATCCTCTTCCATGATAGCGACCTCACATCTCAATCCCTTTCAAACCACCTGGGACTCATGCTAAACCGTTCGAGAAACATCTCCGTGTCAGGAAGACAACTTTCGGCATGGTGGCGACTCAGTTTTGTGGCACTAACACAACATGTAGCTTCTGCTTGTGAAACTCCTATTGATAATCGAAGCTATTCGATATTTTTTTATAACAACGGAGATTGGAGAAGTACTGCTCCCCAAGCAGAGCGCTTTGCTGGTATCATCGTGATGATTACGGCACTGTGGAAATTCGCACTAGCGTGACTTAACCAACAATATATTCACCTTTGCTCTTGCCAGATGCAATGACCTTGAGCCAACGGAATGGCTTTTGAGCAGTTGATGTGACTGTGCCGAAAATAGTCTGTGAGTTGGGGACACCAGGTACAGCAAGAGGTGAGCCGCGTGTGCATGCTTCCTGTGCTGTTTCATCTGGATTTGGGGCCGGCACATTCACGCCGGAGTCCATACCTGCCCAGATATTCTCCAAAAGACCGAGCGTGATGACACTGTTAAAGAACCCCGCATCGCCGTATATGATATTACAGCGAGATCGGATGATTTCTCGATGTGTCTCGGAGATGCACTCTGATCCAGTGACGAACATCGGCCACAAAAGCGACACAGCCGATTCTACGCTACTGATATAGTGCATCGAGGTATGAACCAGATGCTGGATGCGCGGGTGAGATGATGGGAGATCTGGATAAGCCAGGCGCTCCACGTACAGTAAGGCTGAGTAGCGGAAGCACTCAGAGATTCTGGACAGATCAGCAAGATTTGCGATCTCGACTTGTGAGGGGCCAGGCGGAGGAGAGCATTGCCAACTAGGAGCGAGTACCGCAGCACCTGGGGAAATAGGTCCGTTATTAATGGTTGCATCATTTTGAGAAACGCCAGGAAACACCGACTGAATCGATGCGCCGAACGTGTAAGGGACCGCAAAGCCCGTACGAAATGTTGAAGTCTGCATACTCCAAGACTCGAACTGGTCTTTGAGATGATACCATTGCCGCCAAAATTCGGCGTCATGGAAGTCTGGAGATAAAGATCCGAAGATTGTAGGGTTTGAAAGGCAGCGTTTCTGCGCATCACAGCGTCCTTGTCTCAGTTGGTATATATCATCAAGCTGAGTGATGAGCCTGAACAACCTTGCGTCACAACCAAAGGTGTTCCCAATCGTCCATTCGTCATTCTCAAGCGACAGGTATTCCACAAGTTCGGAACCGAATTCCAGGTTTCGATCGTTGACCGTGGCAGTCGTGCAATCATAGAAAACAAACATCCTGGCGCACCATTTCAATGCTTCGGAGTTCCTCCCGGTTCTACTTCTCCGCAATGCTAGAAGTTTCTTGACACCCGCGAACTGGGAGCGAAAGTCTGCTAGTCCGGTGTCGCAGGCATCATACAAACAAACCAACAGCAAGCTCGCCAGAACACTATCATTGTATCGTTTAACGGGATCCGCAAGCTCAGAATTCAGGTATTTGATCGATAAATTTCGGTTATTTGCTTCATCCTGAAGGTCAAACGTGGAAGGCACGTAACCGGATTCTTGCTCAGGGGGCGAACATTCACTGGTCAGCTTTTGCGTCGCTGCATGGGCTTGACGCGAAGCCTCTCTAAAGGGCAACGTCCTCCGTTTCTGCACAATCTGCCAATTTTCTCTCTTTCGTCTGAAATTGTTAGCGGCCAATGCTGCTATGGCATACTGTAAAGTTTGACTAGTCCTAGCTAGGGACACGAAGATCGTTGTATAGGGATTTCGTGGCTTGTTAAAGGTAACCATTACTGGAGCCATTGCCTCCATAAAGAAACGAATGAGGTATTTGAGCCGTGGTGTACTGCCAACTGCTTCTTCAAAGACAGGTGAGGGTATATGGGACAAGAATTGCACTGCTGTCGGTTGCGACCCGTCAGTGTCTCCTGCCTGCTGGCAAGACATTGTCGTCAGAGTCGTGGTGGTACTGGTTTGCCACTGATAAGGGATAAAGCTGTGTGGTCTCCCATAAGCTTGTTGCTGATATGCTGTCGCCATGAATTTTGGTGCATTTGAGCTTGTATTCATCAAGGAATGCTGAAGGAGCTGAGAGAGCATCAATCCGTCGCAAGAGGCGGCAGTGTTGTCCCATGAAGAAAGCATGCCATTGTTGTCATTGCTTCGATCTGCTTCACTGAGCCATTCAACTGGCGTGAGAGAAGGGCTATACTGCTCATTGAAATCCCACGGATTCTCATGGAATCTTTCTTCCTGACTTTCACTGACATCGTCATGGAATTGACGCGCGACGGATGGAAAGAAGTCTAGTGCTGCTGCGTACGAAGACTCGCTCCGGAGTTCTTGTTCCTTTTGCGCTGTTGGTGCTTTCGAAAAGGCGAAAGTCTTCGGTTTCGGGAGTGAATCGGCGCTGCGCACGACCGAAGAAAAAACCACCTCGTTTGCCTGTTGAAGACGTCCATCAACGTCTTTCTTTCGAAGATGGGTATTCAAGTGTAGCGAGCGTATGACATGTGGTGGGGCACTTGGTGACCTCTGGGGATCAGTCAATGCCAGATCAATTTCATTGCTTTTATGCGTCGAGGTTAAAGGCGCTCCAGCTTGCTTGGACGTCGCTGGTATTCGCGATACCTTAACTGGCGTCTGCGTGGTTGGTTTTCCTTTGCTGGCAATCGGACATGATGATCCCCTCAGCTTACCGCGACTAGCAACGCCAACACCCCAGGTTAATGTTGTTCTATATCCTGGGCATTTCTGGCCAAGTTGCAGACATTGTCCGCAGTAAGGCCTCTGCCGATCACAGGAAACCCCGCGCTCAGCACAAGCAAAGCAATCCGAAGCGGCACTAGCTGTGCCACGCTTTTGTTTCTTACGAATAGGGAGCGCCGCTAGGGTTGGTGAAGCGCTTCCGGTTTGAGAAGATTCTGGAAATGAAACGTTCCCAGCTGCGCTTAGAGCACTCCTGTACTCGGTCTTGCCCTTGGTGCTTGTATGATTTGAGTCATGTGCGCTAATGTCCAAATCAAGCAGCTCACCGGCTCTCTTTGTCCTCTTTGGCGTTGCTTCAGATTGCGGTTTGCTCAGCTCTGACAGCGGTGTCATCCTATCGGTCTCACCGCTCTCCATCGTGACACTTCTCAAACGTGAAGACTGATCGGCATACTGTCTCGTCACTCGTTAAGACGCACAAGATTTACACTCTTGTGTGAACTTCGCTGACCGAAAGCAGGACGTTTTGGATGGTGAGAGGACAAAAGCAGGCGGGGCAAGTTAGTCGCACAATTGCCTCAATCAGTTGCGAAATTTTTCCCGAGAAACAGACGGATCTCGCCACCAAATAGATGCTAGAATCACACTCAACCCAGAGTGCAAAGCACGAGAGATGTTCACCCAACCGCTTTCCAACTACGTGACTTCACGGCGCAAAAGACAGAACGCACAAACGACGGATCTCGAATAGCGAAAGAGAACCTGACCTGTCAACCCCCGATGATACACTATCCGAGGATGTGGAAATATAAGAGTGACAGCAAATGCGGCAGTATTGTCTCGAAATCTCCAATTTGCAGAACCCAGATTGGAAGGGAGTTTGATTTTGGAAAAGCCCTATACACTGGGACAGTGCCAGGCACTATCGAAGCCGTGCATAGAAGGTGGTAGTCATACAAAACAGGCAGGTTGTCACTTCGAAAGCCAAGAACAGATTTATATGCGTAAATCGCTGAAGCCGATCCGGCGCGGCTTTTGGCACGTTAATAATACTGGCTCCCTTCTTCGTACGTCGTAACGGCCGTTGTTTCTATGTGAACACTCTTGGGCCAAAACCGTCGTCACATATGAGTGATAAGGGAATGGGATTTGGGATTGGGAATTTGCCTGCGAAAAACAGTATGAAGTATGTATAGCGAGGGCACAAGGGCTCAAGGGCTCAAAACAAGAGCAAAGGGGTTTTTTCCACAAGGCCTCGGAAGACAAAGAAGTCAGGGTAACGGGATAAAGCTCCGCTACTTTTTACGGGGTGGATCGATAATGAAAGCTTAAATAGGCAGGTGTATTCATCAAAGATACAAGCGCCTGCGAGAACCACTTGTATCTGCCTGCTTTGAGGATGCTTCGATTGAATTGACGGTAAATAGGTCTAGATAGAATGATTCGTAGCGATGAAACAATTCGGAGAATTTTACATAAGTTCAAGCGTTGAGATGCCTCATGTGTTTTGCGAAGAAGGCCTTGAGAAAAGGAGGAGTACTTTACAATTATTACTCCTGGTCGTGTCCGTAACCTTCTTTCTCCTTCATGCGGAGCTCGTCGTCATGCATAAGTTCCTCATCGACTTTGGCACCCTGCGATGGCTGATTGCCATGCATCAACGCCTGAAGAGATCGTACGTCAGCAGAGCCTCGAACCTTTCAACGTCCTCCTCTGCTGATGAATTGTCTGAGGTGCGTTGCCTTACAGGTGCCACGGGGTTATGCTGAGATAAAGCTGCGTCATCGTCCTCCTGCCGACGAGGATGCTTTCTTGCGCCCTCCTTATATCTTCCGTCGTGAGCAGCAGTTCTGTAGAGTCCACTTCTGTCTCGTTCCTCTTCCTCACGCCAGCTGAAGTTCTCCTGGTCGTTCGACGAGGCGAAGGCGCGGTCCTTATACTTGTGGCTATGCTGGCTACCAGCGTTGGCGGGATTTCTAGCCGACATGTTGGCAATTGTATTTCGATACTTCGAGAAGAAGGAGAAATTACTGGAAAAAAACAGGAGTATGATCCGCGACAATCCAAAGCTGATGGATGATGCTTGTTGCAATTCTTCAAACGTCTGGTGATCAGCAGGGTGCAGATACGTTTGCTGCAGAATCATCTTCGAGATGTATGTGCCCTGAGGGAAGAGGGCCTTTCGACGTTACGTCACAGCTCGCTTATCCATGTC